TTTCGAAAAGAGAGGGTCAAATACAAAGTAAGTTTGATGAATGGAAGTTCTTTAATCTTGCCCCGCGTTCAGCATAAACTTGTTCTTCTTGTATTGCGAACTGTATTCACCGTAGGTTTCTGATTACTCAGTTTCTTGCAGCTAAACTTTTGGGCAAGAATATCATGATTGCAGAGAGGAGATAGTCCCTCCGCAGCTTTCCTCTATTTGTTCGTCAACTTTCACAAATGTGTTAGCGTTGCATTTTAAGATTAAATTTGACCAGGTATTTGTGCAGCGAGTTCTACGTTCACGATTGACTTCAAAATTGCAGATATAAAACTAGAGAGCTCTGAGGGTTATTTGCTGAAGTTAGAGAAAAATCTGTCTTGGTGGGTTTCAAAGTTATAGACATTTTTTTTTTTTAAATGCGGTTTTAAACGCATGCCGAAATCTCAAAGGTTTTTATACCTACAAGAAAATAAATAACAGTTTCTTAAAGTTAGACTATTTTTTATTAAGGAAACCAAAAATCCTAGAAATCGGTTAAATCTTTCCTGCCTAAAAACACGATTCAAAATATAACCAACACGCATATAAATAGGTTCGGGCCACCTTAACGGCGGTCCCGGGACAGCTGTTCTAAGCATACATTGAGACTAAATACATAAGATAAGGAACAGGTGAAAAACGGCGCTAACCGTACAAAAAAAAATACGAAAATAAAGTAAGAAGAAATTATAAGATTCAAAAAACTGGCAGAGCTGAGCTGCCAACAGAAATAAATGTGGTCAGACAGAGGCCAGAAAAGAAAACCTGCCTAAAAATCCACGAAGGGAAAAAGTTCGGGAGGGAAATCTGGATAGGAACCAAGCCCCAAGCTCAAAGACGTTTCTACGGGACTTTACAAGTCAATCGAAATAGGCCGCTCCTAAAATAAACAAAAAAGTTAAGAAAACCAAAGAAAGGTTGTTTCAGAAGCCGAGATGACGTACACGCGATATTTATACGTAGCCTTTTATACTCCCGGTATGAACAAGACAAGACAAGACAAGAAAATTATTTATACCACACAGAAAAAAAGACATTAGCAAAAGACAATACTACTTATGTAAGGTACAAGCGTCCTTTAGCTAAAAAGCTAATCTAGCTGGAGGCACAAGTAGAAAACAATGTAAAAAACAAACAAACAAACAAAGAAACAAAGAAACAAAGAAAAGAAAAGAAAAAACGCATATGTGCAGAATTGAATCACTGAAAAATTGAGGAACTGGAGAAAATATTGGAAAAGAAAGAACTTAAGGGGGGAGTCTGGTTGAAATTTTGAGTTAAATTATGAACTCGGTCATTTTTTTGTTGTATTCGTTTTTAGACAGAAAAACTATTCAACTTTAAAATATTAACACTTTCAGCGTGAGAAATTATCCATAAAATGAAAAAAAAGTTCAATCTTTCGCAGTGTATACAAAGCTGTTTTCCGTTTCCATGGCAACCGTTTCAAACAAATGCATTTTGGAGGGGTTTTTTGCACTTATATGAAGTCCGATTGTTCCTTTGTTCCTGTAGTCCTTTTCAAAACTATCCCTGTTCAGTGTTTCCAAACTTTGAAGGCCTGGCTGCATAGCACGGTGTTATTTCGCTCTTCGTATTGACTCCATGTGAATCTCTCGCACAACGCGATGCCAAAAGGAGGAAAAATCGGACGAAAACAGTCCGTACTGAAAAAGAATTGTCAAAAAAGGAAATCAAAATTCAAGGGAGTCCAAAAACAAAAGAAAGTGCCCATGGAACTGGCGACAAACGCTGCTACTGAAATCACGTTTGTCGGTGAAGATGATGTTGTGAGTGAACAGATTCCACCGCCTGCTGCTTCGGCTTCTTTGAGAAAAATTGGTGCTGAATACACAGAAAGCTCTTCCGATGAAAGTATAGATCCAAAAGGTGAGATACCAGAAGGATACCGTCTTGTGTCTATGGATAGTCTCAAAGAATTTGCCAGAAGGATTCATTCAAATTCGCCATGTGCTTCCGGTGAGATCATTATTTTCAGTGCTTATTTTTACTTTCGCAATTCTCATAGTATATATTATAAAATGTGCTTCTCCTGTTGCTGTTCTTGTCCGGCGTCGTCATCACTTAGTTATTTTCTTTATTGTTGTTGTTGTAGGCCATCTAGAACTTCGAGAAATGAGTACAAGGCGATTTGGCCTCAGCACCAGCATATATGCTATTTGTGATGACTGCGGTCTGACGGAATTTCTGGGTACTGGTGAACATAATTCCTTAGACAATGGCCCCAGAACTATGCAAGGGAAGGATGTAAATCGCCGAGTGGTTTATGCTGCCAGTGAAATGGGGATTGGCACGTTGTCTTCTAGGCCTTACCCAAAAATGCAAATGAGTCTGTGAATATCATATAGTGTGGATTAGGTGCCCAAAGCACAAATGGCATGGTAATGGCTGGGTTAGCTGTTCGGGCTCACACCAGAAAGGAAAGCAGCAGAAGAGACTCTGGGCAAATTAAAAAGGCTGAGAAAAGGATCCAGGATCAGCATAAAAAATACAGAGTTGCTTGCAGACAAGCAAAGCAAAGAGACGAGGAACAACGGCGACAAAAGGAGGGCACAACATACGGTGCTGGTGCTTTCAATGAACTGACTGTTGCCACAGAACCAGCAAGAAAGAGAAAAAAGAGATAGAAGTTGTGATTTATATCTAGAAAATGATGTGCTGATACTGCAATGAGGCTACTTTTACTAATGTACTAGTGGTAGCTTCCTTTATTGAATGTTACACTGCTGATTTTGCTTGCCAAATTTTAAGCTGCGTTTTCTCAAAAAGGCATTTTCGCGGAGTTTTTTTATGCCCCCTTAGATTTTTATTCTTTGGTTTTATCCGTTTTCTACCAAATTTGGCTCAGTTACTTATGAAAGGCTGTTCTACAAACCTATTGAGGCTTTTTTATTTTTGATGAATACACTTGATGATATTCCAGGTTGAACTTTGTACAAAATTATGCCGTTGCTATGGCAACACAATTTGCTGAAAACCGAAATTGCTCAATAGGTTTGTAGGAGAGTGTGTGTAGTGTTATTGTGAGAAATATCATGGTTACTTTGTAAATAGAAAAGAAAAAAAAGTATGGGGGCACGAAATTGGTGGAAAAAAGCCTCCATCAAGAACTTGGTTAATAATTAACCATAAATTTGCTTATTATGGGATGTAAACCATATGCCACATTAGACTGTGGGCTGGTCTATTTGCATGAAAAATTCTATGAAGATACATAAAATAGCTGGAGTTTTATGTGCTTTACAATCTGTGACAAATTTGGGCTCAAAATGTAACCAGACTCCCCCCTTAATATGAACAAGCTATAACACCCAGGTTCTGTGGTATTTCGTGCCGTCAAAATAGTTATTTCTTATTCTTAACGGGATCATTCGTCATAAATAACAGAACTTGCCACATTTAAAACTTTGAATAATCATTTGTCACTGATTTTATCTGCCAATTTACTGTTGTTGCAAGTGCCATCAATTGAATTAGTGTTCCTTGCAATTGCCTTATTTTAAAAACTGATTTATTCATTCGTGGACTACCAGTCTCGAAAGCATTGCATTGCTATCTCTCGTTCAATATATATAAAAATGAAATAGAACTGATTCATTTTGATAATTCAGCATTAAATTTTGATTTCCAGACATAAACGAGTGTAACACAGGAAAACACAACTGTGACGTCAGTATTTCAGCGTGCTATAACACTATAGGATCCTTCGGATGTGCTTGCGGGGAAGGTTATTCTAAAAACGGAGAAAATACATGTACAGGTAAGACTTCAAATCCCTTAATTGAAACACTCAGATATTTCTTAGCCACGTATCTTTCAAATCAATTTCCTCTGTTCCAAAGTGACTACACAGTGTTTGTATGATTTATCAAGCGATATTATGGAGAGCGCTCTTTTTTTGTACACGCTCACTTAGACAGTCGGGTAGGCTATGGTGGAAAATGGGCGAGCAATATTCTAGTACGGGTCTCATTACTGTACAGTGGAAGTCAACAATATCTTTACAGCTCAAGCTGAACCTAAAAAATGCAAACGCTTATTTGCTTTCTTAATAGTTTCATTTAGTATTCACCAAATCAGTGGATACCAATTTTCGCGCGTTCTGATTGGCTGCCGTAACTAGGAATATCCTCGGATATTTACTGTTTCATTTGTTCATGACGGGATTCTGCTTCTCGTTTCGCGACAGTTTCGAAAGATGAAATTTTAGCGGTAAATGAGACAGCTGCACAAACAAATACCATGAAAGAGAAAAAATTGGCTTGTCGGTGTTTACAGGTCACTAGAAAAGAATTTTCTCACTGAATTTGGAAGAAAATCATAACAAATGATCCCCGAAACATTGTAAACTGAAACGTAAACAAACTCGAACTAAGTGATTTTTATCCAACTGATTTGGTAAATACTGAAACAACTATCCCTCTCAGGGTCGGTTCATAGCGCTAGATATAAACTAGATATATACCTCGACGCTTCGCGTCTAGGTATGTCCCACCTGACTATTCTGATCACCACCCCTTCGGGGGATATTTGTATATTATATAAAAGTTCCACCTGCGATCGTTAATAATAATAATAATAATAATAATAAGAAGAAGAAGAAGAAGAAGAAGAATAATAACTTTTTTTTAGTGAAAAAAATTTATTGACAACAATGCTAACTATTAAAATCCTATTTACAATTAATTCGCTTGAAAAGAAGAAAAAACTATTCATTCAAAACAATTATGCAAAAAATATTTCACCAAAAAAAATTACTAGGGCTGCATAAAGTATACAAAGTGCATGAACCTACCAAAAAGAGTTAAAACAATTATGTCAACACTAAAATTATAAAATTACCTAGACTACTTAAATGGTAAAACTGCATAACACCTACTAAAAACGAGATAAAAAAGCACATAAAATTACAAAAAAAGCTTTCTGAAATAAAAATGTCTTTTGAAAAGATGCTACTGAGGGGCTACTCCTAATCGCATAGGGCCATGAATTCCATAGTTGAGGAGCAGCAGCAGCAAAATATCGATCTCCTAACGTTGATAAAGTCTTGATTTCACAGTGTTTAGTAGCAGTGCATCACAATCGTAGAGTAAATTGTATTTACATGCTTCTTTAAGATTAATAAGTTCCTGGAGATAAAAAGGTGCTAAGCCAGTGATAGCCTTTTACGTTAACAGTAGTATCTTAAAGTCAATTTTGAATTTAACCGGCATTATATATACAGCAACGGTCTTATGTGGCAGTATTTAGTTTCCTGGAAAATTAACCTAGCGGCAGCATTTTGGACCCTCTATAGCTTATTAAGCTGGTAGGCTGGCACGCCATAGAGCAGGCTGTTACAATAGTCGACGCGACAGTGTTATACCTAAAAGTTTGGCACTACTATAACAGCTAGTTCCTTCTCGTCGACCACAACAGGGCTGCAGACGTGTTTGTTATTTTAAAGTCGATGATCATCTCCTTGCATTGTCAGCGTTTAGTTGCATGCATTGTTCACGTGACCAGTCCTCGACGGCACCAACTGCGCTTTGAATGTCACCCTGTGCTCCTCGCGGGACTAACTCATCAATAGTAGAGAGATTAAGCACCCCGTTTGCAGCAAACGGCAAACTTGAGTTTCAAGTTGGGAAATTTTGAAAATGAGAAATGAGGAGATAAAAGCAGCTTAAAACAATCCTTATGGATAAAATTGGCCCGAATCTACCGATTTTCGTGTAGTTATAATGAACAGAAAACGACTAGTGAAGGGGAAACTTGCTTACTTTTGCCGTTTTGCCGTAAACGTGATGCTTAATCTCTCTAGTAAGTATCATCAACGTACAGAATGTGCTTCTATGTGTCCACACTGAAAACCCCTGAGGAATAACGATGGCCCTAGTTTGGTTCCTTGAGGCACACCAGCGGGCACAGGGCCTCATTCATAAAAACAGTCCCTCGACAAATTTACGCGTTGTTGTCTATGCGTTAAGAAGTCGGCCACCCAGAGGGCAACAGCGCGAGGAAAAGATAGGCGGAAACCTTTGCGCACAAGCAGGGTGTGGTCGCTGAGATCGAAGACCTTCCTGTGATCAAAGGGGACGACTCTTACAACAGCTCCAGGCCCGTCGGTGGCTTGCAACCATGTATGTAGCATGGACGTAATGGCGTGTAGGGTAGAGGACGCTGGGATGCAAGCATACTGATTTGGATCAATCACCTCCAGAACTGCGGGGCCGAAATGGAGAGCGACGTGCAAGTTTAGATATTACGAAGGTTAGGGAGATCGGCCAAAGATTTTTGTTAATGTCGATAACAGGTTTTAGCTTGGGGACAGGCACCATCTTCCAGGATGACGGGCGTCTCTGCTCCTCGAAACTGCTGTTCTGCACAGCTGTAACTGGGCAAGCAAGGATGCCTACGTACGCCTTCACCATACTACACCATCTAGTCCTGCCGCCTTCATTTTAAAGGGATAAAACGGCGGGTTCGGATAGGGTCAGCGGTGACAAATCCTCACTGTGTGACGGGAGGAATTCAATCCTTTGGTAGGACTCCATAGGTTGTAGGAATCCTGAGTTGATTTGGCTGGCATTCTCTTGGTCTGACAGAAGAGCGGAACCTCGATCTATAAGTTGGCAAACCAGGAGCCAGGAGCGAGAGCCATGTCAGCGATTTACTTGACCGTACTCCACCTCTAGCTAGGCTCGGTTTGCTTTAGGTGGCTCACTTTTGAGGCGTAGTAGTTGCTACTGAGAACTATCCATTTGTCTAAAGGAATGGGGCCAAAATGAAACATCCGGCCGGATTTTTTGCGTTCGCTGCCAGTTTGCTTTGCAAAATCCTGCCAGCAAACATTCTTAACGTGTACTAACCAGGCTTTTGTACTTTTTACATACTATATCACTTCTAAAAGTAAACAGTAACACTAGTTTTAGGCGCCGAATTTATTCAGACCATACTCGGTAATTGTTGGGGTTTCAAGAAACGGCCCTTTGAGAGAAACAATCAACATTTTGGCGTTGGCTTTGAGTTATTCCCGGAAAGCATGTGACATGATACCACATAGCTAGATTGTCAAGTGTTTGGAGATGTTTGAAATAGCTGAGAACTGTGAAAAGGTGTTTTTTTTTTATTAATGGTATGTAGACATAGAAGTAGAGTTATCATCATCAGGCGAGAGGTTGGAAGTCATTAATTAGAAGAAGAGGCATTTTCCAGGGCTACTTGTTTTGTGCATGATTCCATTAACATTGGTGTTGAGAAAATCAACAACAGGTTATGATCTTGCGAAGGATTTATGGTTAAACCTCTTTCTTATGGACGAATTAAAATTGTCTGGGAAACGTGAAGGCCAAATAGATTCGTTAGTGCAAACTGTACAGTTCCTTAGTGAGGACATTAGAATGGATTTGTATTGAAAAAGTGTAGTGTGTTGAGTAGTGATAGAGGGATGAAATTAAGCCCTGTTGGGGTCAAGTAAGGTTGAGGTAAATCATTGATATGCACAAGGTTCGAGTCCATGACGTTACCCATTGTTTTTGTAAATTTGTAAATTGTAAATTGTAATTTGTTTACCCACGGAGCAATAAGGAGTTCATAAGAACTCGTTAAAACGTGTCCGTGCGTTCCAGATCGAATTGGAATTTGAAAGTGTTGGTTTTTAAGGAGAGGGGAAAACCGGAGTACCCGGAAAAAAACCTCTCGGAGCAAGGGAGAGAACCAACAACAAACTCAACCCACATATGGCGTCGACGCCAGGATTCGAACCCGGACCACATTGGTGGGGGGGCGAGTGCTCTCACCACTGCGCCACCCTTGCTCCCCAACCTAAGGAAAAAGTGGGTTCTTCTTATACAATAGGAACAGGCTTGTCTAGAACTATCCGGTAAGTAACTTGAGCCCGGTTTACCGGAACGGCCCATTAAAAGAATAGGAACAAGAGAAGCGATCACCTAGCAACACGAGAAACGGCTTATGTTTTCTATTATAATTTAAGCGCTAAAAATCGAATATATGAACAAAACACACACACACACAGAAAGTGGAGCTGAGAACTCTTTATTTCAATTTTGGCTGGCTAGTACAAAACCTCTTATCTCAGAGTGTGACTGAAAAATCTTTAATCATTTCTTTAAATTATCATGACTAAAGATAGGATATAAACAAAACTCAAGTAAAAAATTCAGGTATTCTATCTCGAGGAGACGACTAACTCTCAGGGCTTGGTGAGCTTATGGTCTTGTTATTTTCACGCGCCGTTAGTCAGTTAATTATATGTGAGTTAAAAAGCCGACATTTGCATACAAAATGGCTCCACAATAAAGACCCCTATGGAGAACCTTGACTTTTTATTACAAAAACACAAAAAAACAATTATTACCTTAATGAGGATCAAATGAAACACGCTACTAATAAACGCTAGCAATAAAACTAGTCAAGAGAGATAAAGCCAGATATCTGTTTTGCAACTGAAATTATCGCTTATCTTTTTCATCGTCCCGAAGATCGTTTCCAGAAAGCACATCATCCATGTTGCCCTGTATTTCTTACATAGCTGGAAGAAGCGGGACGGGCGAAAGATTTTGCTGCTTTAGGTATTTTTAAAGCTCTTAAGGAATATTTTCGAGATACTCTACTGGGTTAAAGCCCTCTTCACTGGGCAGGAGGTTTTTTCGCAGTGGGCAATTATCTTGGGTAGTAGCTTTTAGATCAATCAGCAGATAACCAAAAGGTCTTTTTAGGGTCTCTTCGTACTGATTTAAAAAGAAATTGCTGGTTTTCGCATGACGTCACTAAAATTCAAACTAAAAACTATTGATCCTACTGACATTTTACTTTCACGAAGCGTTAGAGCAGCTGAAAACTAATTTTCATACAAATTTTCGCTTCAAAAGGGTTCTTATGGTTTTGTGATAGAGTACGCTTGAATTTCTAAGCTTTTGCGTGACGCGGCATTTACATGACGGCCAAGAGACTTAAGAGAGGTGTCATGAAGGTTAAAAAAATGACTTATTTCAGGAAATTATACTATCTAAACAGTTCGTGTATTAGAAAAAGTATTACTTTAATGTTTATGAGTTCTCGAAGAATGAATTCACGCTTTTTTTAGCAAAACTCGGTAACAGATGTTTCTGTTGGTTTCCGCCCGCCATGTTAGAGCTCATCCAGGTAAACACCAACATGGCGTCTCCATACAAATCTCTATAAGTTTCGGTAAAACATTTCTTCGGATATCTCGTATACGAAATATTCCTCTGACCTAACTCTTGGCAAGGGTCTTTGAAAATGTACGTCCTTTCATTTCCCAGATTCTGGACCTTATCTATTGAACGGTTTTGATTGTTATTTTGATTTATTTTGAATGGCGTGAAACTGAAAACCAGCAATAAGTTTGCCCGGGATACGTTTACTTGGCCAGAGTCAAGTTTTGCAATTTGTCTCGTGGATTCTTGAATAGCAGCAAATAATGACCGTTTAGGCTTATGCTGCGACTTCCCTCCCCCTGATGAAATAGATTCTGCACGATATAAATCTCGCTGAGATTTCGATGATGAGAACCACGAGTAAAGAGGTTCACAATTCGCTTGTCTTTACTGGCGTCAATCATCTGACCATCAAACACGATCACATTCTCTTTGTTCACATAATAATAGGAATCCTGCATCAAAGCCGTAGGAATTCCCTCGATAAATTCAATGTGTGGCATGGCGACTAGCATTTCTGTATACGCAGGCTGCCATTGCGAATAACACCAAACGATCCTCTCTTGAGGAAGGTAAATTGTCTCTGAAGCTTAATGTAATAGAAATAGAACCCAGGTCGCTTTTCCGAAAATTGGTCATTCCGGCAGTCATGGAGGTGAGAGGATCCTCAAAGCGAAACCGCTGACATTTCTGTGAAGACATCGGAACTGTTTGAAATGGGGTGAGACCAGCATTGCGGTGTTTAGACATCGCGTGCCTTTGCATGCTATCTTTTCTACTAAACGATTTTTCGCAAACGGAACAGAACAAACTCATGCCAACTCCTCAGGAGCAGAATGTAGACTGAGAAAAAGGTAGAATGTTGCTCGTTTATATAGGTTTGGCAAGCAATGAAACCACATTATTGCTTTCCTCCTCCACCACCGCCACATTTCTATTGTTAAGTTATTAACTGTTTCTTTTTTTCGTTGTTGTTTTTATAATAATATGTCAAGGTTCTCTCTTGGGGTTTTTACTGTATAGCTGAGCCAGTTTGTATGCAAATGTCGGCTTGATAACTCGCATAATTAACTGACTAACGGCGCGTGAAAATGACAAGACAATAAGTTCACCAAGCGCTCGTATCCTCGAGATAGAATACTGAATTTTGTGCATGAGTTTTGTTTATATCCTATGTTTAGTCATGATAATTTAAAGAAATGATTAAAGCTTTTTCGGTTACACTCTGTAACGATAGCGTGTTCAACAACTGAGCGCTTTCATTTTGAGCACATAATAATTTCTGCATGAGCCAATCATCAGGGTTAAAAGAGACCGGGCAATTCTAGGCAAGCCTATTTTTCCTATTGTATAAGAGAGACGCTCATTAGATATTGAGGAAAACACTTATCAGTATGAAGGAACCCACTTTTTTGCTAGGTTAAAGCAATGGGTGACGTCATGTACTCGACCCTTATGCATATCAATGATTTACCTCAACCTTACAAGACACTTACTCGACACCAACGGGGCTTAATTTTATCCCTCTATCACTACTGTGTTAGTAATGACAAGGGAAAAGAAAGTAAGGTTTGAGAGTATAACTCTTTTGTATGGGCGGATAATGGGAGAAATCGTGAAAGAAGGTATAAATATTTGAGGCGGATTTAATAAACGAAAAGAAGATGAAAAAAAATTCAAGAGAGTAAAAAAGAAGGCTGAAACTTAAATGTTGAAATTAAAATTGAATTGAAAGAATAAGGTTATAGCGATTAACACCTGCCCAGTGTCAGTGCTGATCAAGTATGGAGTAGGTAAGATGGACAAAGGAAGAACTGAAGACATTGGATATAATGACTAGAAAGGTGTTGACAATGAATGGTGCCTTCTATTCAAAAAGAGATGTTGATAGGTTGTATGTATCAAGGGAGGATGGAGGTCGGGCCGACTAATAAGCTGTGAGGGGTATTTGATAGGTGGGGAAAACAGTTTGGAGTGATATGTGAGGAATTCTTTGGACGTTTTGCTGCAAGGGGTAATAGTTACTGGTAAAATTAAAAGTGAAGAAACCGTCAGTAAGAATGAATTCAAGACATCTTGGAACAATGAGCTGAAACTCGACAGTTGGAAGGAAAAAAGGCTGCATGGTCAATTTTTAAGAGAAATTCCCGGAACAACACAAGTAAGAGAAACTTGGAGCAGGTTACGAAAAGCAAAGTTGAAAATCCAAACAGAAGCACTTATTTGTGCAGGCCAGGAACAGGCTCTCAGGACCAATCATGTAACTGATACCATGTTAACTGCAAGACCGTGCGAGTCCCCCTTATGTACGTAATGTGGCGAGAAAGGCGAGATTGTAAAGCATATTGTCTGTGAGTGTAACTGACAAGTTAGCCCAAAGGGAATATAAACAGAGACATGACAATATTGCAAAAATAGTTCGTTGAAAGTCATGTGAGAAATAACATGTGCGAAAGAAGGATAAGTGGTACGATAGTGTGAGTAAATAAGGTGAAGTTAAACCCCAGGGGGGCTACTCGGGATTTAAAGTGACGGAGATGATCGAATGGAGCCAAAAGTCAAGACCCAAAAAAATCTCTAGGGCTTCCAGTAAAACCCCCAAAAATCCCTGGACCAAAAATGCAGACTATTGTATAACACGTGCGATGTAAAGCGACACCATAGTTAACTATTAAACAACAGCAAAACACGTTTGTTTGTACTTTACTCGCAGAACTACGCAGCCAGGGCACTACCGATTCTTTTTAATACCCCCTAAAAAATCCCTACTCAAATCAAGCTACCCCCAAAAATGATTTCCAAATTTTTGTACCCCAAAAAATCCCGGAATCGAAAATTTCAAACCCAAAAAAATCCTTCGATCATCCCCGTCACTTGAAATCCCGAGTACCCCCGCTGGGAGTTAAACCACTGTGGCATAAAGAACATCCAATGTTATCATGTCATCAATGCTACAATAGACATGATCATGTGGTTGGTCGTTTCGTAGCAAGATAGAGCAATCATTAGACTGTAAAATAAATGTCGCTAGTGCGGATATCTGAAATACGTGTCTACATGCTTTTATACTTAGGGCTTTTTATGGACACTGGTTTAGCCGTCATTAGTATAATTCGATTGTATGATCTTGATATCTCTGCATAATGGAATTCTTAATTTTATAGAATTTTGAACTTTTATTACTGATTATATCTATTTCCTCTTCTTTTATGTAAGGTTAAGTTACTTCTATTTTTTAGAATTTGTAAATGAATAGTTTTCTCTTTCTTCAGTTATTATATATAAGATTGTTTTTGTTCTCTAATGAAGGAATTGTAGATAGTGTTTTGATGAATTGATTAGATTTTTTGTAACAGCAGGTTGATTGTAAATAGAATTTTAATTGAGGTTTTGTAATAAAGATTTTACCAAAAAAATAATATAATAATAATAATAATAATAATAGTAATTTGAATGATAATTATAATACTTAATATATAGTTTAATAAGGGAAATAGGACTGAGTGGAGTCAGGAGACCACATAGCTAAAGTCCAACAAAAACATCGAAGAGCTCGCGCGGCATGGCGTGATTATTGTACCATTAACTAGGTATATTTGACGAACACTGCCCCCGGGCACTGTCCCATTACACTGTTATGATCATAATTAGAACAGCATTTAATAGTGGTAGTAGGAGTAGAAATAGGACTCAGATTGGAATCAATTCCGTCTGTAATCATCAGAGTGATTAGAGAAAACTGTTTCTCAGTAGTCCTCGGATGGGCTACGACTATTTAGAAAAAAGGCAAACTGAATAGTATCCAAAAGCCGCGCCTCCTGTTTTGCAGACGTAAACGAGTGCGCAACAGGAAAACACAACTGTAACGGAAGCTCCATATGCCATAACACCGAAGGATCCTTCTTATGTATCTGCAGAGAGCCAGGATATTTCTGGAACGGCGTTAATTGCACAGGTAAATATCTTCTGTACATTCAGATTCTTCTGATAAAAAAGGCCGCTGTGTGATCGGGGTTTGTCATATGATGAAATCATTGTCATTATCGTCATCATTGGTATCGCGGATATTTTCCCTTTTTCCTTGATAGCTATTTTAAAGAAAAAAATCAAACGAGAAAGGTTTGTGCAATTCCTTAGGTTTCAATTTTATAAGAACATGAAGTTTCGATATGATCTTTAAGGTCAAGTAATACAGGCAACATTTTCGCTTAATTTGTTGCGCAACATTGTTGCATTCCAAGTTGAAAAGCGTCATTTTCCGTCTGCAAATTAACGTTGCAGCCTTTGAAATTAAAGTGCCTGGCATTTTGAACCATGACCGTTTGTAGGGTTGATTTTGTGTTTAAATGAGTATTATTTCTATCAGTAGCTTTTAATGCTGGTCTCATTTCGGTGGCTGAACACCAACGTGATATGTCTTTAACTTAGAGCTTGCCAGTACAATCGAATCACGTGAATTGAGTAAGTAGAAAAGCACCCCATGCCCCCCTCCCGCTCCCCCCGCTCCCCCCACCCCAATGAAGCTTTGCCTCTCTGGGTCAACGGGGAAGAAGCTGACGTTGGGACCGATAAGGGTTTTTAGTTAGTCATTCTTGTACCATCTTTAAAGACAACCAGGTAGCTACAACAGCAGCGATAAAACATGTCACACAAGAAACCACTTCTTTTTGCAATCTTTAAGGTCGTTACGTTACTCTCCTCTCATTTATAGCGTTCATGGACTCAAACATATTGAAAACAAATTCTTCTTATTTGTACCATCTGGGAAAATTTCTGGAGCCTGCGGTTGGGTACAATTCCCACTGGCTACTGTGCTGGCGGGCTACATTGCACGGCTGGGATGTCGAAAAACAGTTTCACAAACGCTGCGATGGAAAAAGTGACACAGTTACCATAATAAAAAAGGGCAAATACGTTTTTGGAGGTTACACAGACATTCCTTGGGGTAAGAATATTGCTTGCTCAGTTTAAAACCAAATAGCAATAAAACGTAAAGTTGAGCCAGACCAGTCTTCCTAACTATTTTTATTGCTGTAAGAACTAGGGAGGCTGGTTGTTACGTATTAACGATTCTGTAAAATTGCGGATATGTTAAATATCTATCCTCCCGGTTCCTGGCGAGAAAATACATGGACCATAGTATTAACTCAATACTATGTCTTCTACACAGGCCACCAAACTGTGACACCCACGGGCATTTTTGTCTGATTTTTGGCAACATAGCTACTCTCACCAACTCGAGTACGCTGATTTCGAAAATTGCTGTTGCCAAGCTCAAGCTTGTGTTAAGGTGGAGTTTTAGGGTATTCCCTTATGACCTCACTGTCTAAATAAGAAGTTTTCTTTCCTTTCCCAATTTTAAATTTAATAGACCCAGAAATGGTTTCAAAGGGCTCTAAGTATATTTTAAAGACCATTTAGAGAATTTATATAACGCTGTTTCTGCGAATTTCGAGGGGTCACATGACAATTGACCACACCCTTTGATATAAAATTCACACAATTATGGCTAAAGATGTGATATTTATCGCGATACTTTCATAAAGATAATGAAATTTAATAGATCCAGAAGTTGTTTCAAAGAGTTCTACGTATATTTTAAAGACCATTTTAGAGAATTTATAAAACGCTGTTTCGGCGTTACATGACAATTGACCACACTCTTTGATATAAAATTCACACAATTATGGCTAAAGATGTGATATTTTTCGTAATAATTTTATTGAGATAATTAAAAAGTATATTAAAATAAGCCATTCTTTGATTGCACGTGCTCTTCTTGACAATTATTGCAAAACCTTCCCATTCCTGCACTTTTCCTCTCACTAAATAAGTTACAAGACCAAGGCAACTTCGAAATTCAAGTAAGTTCACATAGTTTAGGATAGCTGGACTGCTTAATAAAATGTAGGTGCATGGAGACATCTAAAAAGAAAAAGAGCTGCAGCGATTCTCTCAGTACAGACGCTGAGGAGTGGCTTTCCACAAGCACCGATGAGAGATGTGCAAAGCTGCTAGAAGCGCAAAGGCACGGAAAAGAATTTTTGATGAACAAAATAAAGAGACAATAAAAAAGAAAGCGTAAGAGATGTAACCACTCCTAGGGCTTTCCACAAGTTGCCCGGCAACTTTTTGGCAACTTCTCGTTCTTCGAGCAACTTCTCGAGTTATCTTCTAATTCTGAGATATCGGAGCAGCTTTTAGTGCTTCAAATTGGCCTTTCTTCCATATTTCACAATGTTTAAATAAACAATTTCTGAATTTCCTATAAAAAAAGAAGCCAAATCCTCCCTCTTGGGGCAGATCATGGGCGCAAGATAAAAGTAGCCGGGCTGCTAGGTCAGCTGTTTTTAGAGAAAATTCATAATGGTGGACAAAGATTCACACTCGACTGACTTGTGTCTCGGGTGAAGAAGGTCATTCAACATTTGTATTGGCTCATTAGACTTCCTGGTTTTTATCTAGGACAAAGTTATTTAGCAACGCTGGTTACGCCGCAAAATTGAACAAAATGCTTAGAAATCTTACTTTTGTTGTACAAGTTGCATATTTTTCGAGCAACTTTTGAGGAACTTTTGTTTGTTTTTTGAGCAACTTTTTTGAGAAATACGGGAAACTTTTTGAAAAATCTCGAGCAGCTTGTGGAAAGCCTAACCACTCATGACTCACTTCGTCTCACAATGGCACAGAAATTTGTTATCGTGACTTCATACACAAAGTGAAAATTGAGCTTCTGAAGGAAAAGCTATATGTTAAATAGGCACCTTACGATCCGACGACGGCGACGGCAACGGGAACGCCACAAAAGCAATAGGTTTAATTAGCAAAACAACAATTCTGCACGTGAATCGCGCTTTTTTGTACATTTCTTTGCCGTCACTGCACGACTACGACGTGAAAATGTTTAATTTCACGATGTACAGAGGAAGTACACAAGCGACGTCGAAATTTCCTCTCTCTTTCTGAACTTGGATATGGTTCTTAGGAATTCAACTTTAGGAGGGTTCGCCTACATTTGACAAAGTGAGTGACTTGGAGTAATCTCGATGAAGATTGAAAGAACGCGAATTCACTTTTTTCAGCGACGTTTTACCTGCCGTCGCCGTCCTAGGGTCTTAAGGTCCCTAATAATACCCCCCTAACACAGAACAAAAGTATTTCTTTTGACAACGAGGCGGCCTCCACTTCATTAAAAGGGCAAGTAGCACGAAGTAGTAGGAGAAGTGTCGCACCTGTACAATGGAGTCTTTCTGTACTTTGCCAAAAATCCGAAAACACCGAGAGCTGCTCAAATCATTTACATCATTCAATGTAAGCAATTCAGTTCCAGCAATTGAATCATCTTATCTGGATATGAACTGAATTTCAGACGATTACTTCGAGTTGTTTTTACTTCCTCAGTAGGGTCAGAATCGACTGGCCGCTAATACCGTCCAGTGACACCGGCAAACAAAGAAATATCGTTGGAAATGTCTACATGATACAGAAGTGCTTTACTCTTTTTGAATGTAATTCATATTTATCGTTTAAACTGTCAACTGCATGCAGTACTCTGAACGAAGTCTGTTGTACGTTTAATTCAATACTCAAACTCGATCGCAATCACGCAGATAAAACAAGCTCATTAAAATACACACACGGAACACTTCAAAAACACAACGATTTGCTTTAAAAAAAAGAAGCTATTTGGTGCTTAACGAAGAAGGAAAAAAAGCAAGAAAAAAAAGTTAAACAGAATCATTACACTTGAAGGTGGAAATTACAAGACTTAAATCCCAGAAATTTTCGCTTTCGAATTTTTTTAACTCCACGCAAGCATGCCAGGCATCTGACCCGGCAATCCCGCTAAAATTTCTCATAACTATACATAATTCTGCGAATGTTTGGACAAGAATCAACCAATCAAACACTACCCGGTTTTCGGGTAGTGACGTCACACTGGACGGGATTAGCGGCCGGTCGATTCAGACGTTGCTAAAAGAGTAAAAAAGGACTCGAAGTAATCGTCTGAAATTCAGGCTAATCTGGATAATGCAATAAAATTCCGCCTAGCTGAGGTCAGCGATCTCATTGCTGCAAAAGGGCCGGGAAGGTACAAAAAGTGTCTGAGCGCTTAGTACCAGACTGGCAAAAAGAAAGAGGAATCTCAACAGGCAGTTATCGTTATGATTTTATCTGCTTTGAGCTCGGCCACTATACTGCAGTGCGTAACCAAATACTCCAGCTATCTGACGTATCGCCGGGATATAATAAGCTAGAGCCCAAAAAACCAATACAAACATACCGCAGTCATCTATCAACAGGAAAGCATCATGAGAAAAGTTGGAGACTTGTTCGAATTCTTAAGCACTGATACGGGGGATTACATCATACAAGTTATGATGTACGCTCCTAGTTACTCAACGCTGTTAGTAGATCTACTGCACAAGGAGGGCCATATACAGCTACGACAGGCAAATCCTCAATTTGGACACCTCAATGGGGCAAGATACAGTCTGTTCTTGAAAGAGATAAACGGCACCGTTGTCCTAACTGGTTCTAAACCCGTACAACTTCCTGATGCAGTTCACTGCTAATAACATTGACATCAACCATTCGTTACTAGGTGCAAAGGACACTTTCCACGCAACACAGGTACCTGGTTGACAAAGAGGCCCAAATAAAACAAAGCATTTAGCAAGCTTGAGGCCCAAAGTGAATTGTGAAATTACTAGGATTCAACATTGCACAAGAAAAACAAAAAGTTGTATATGTATTCCTAAGCACATTACAAAAAAAATGATGGCTGTCTTTACACTAGGCTGTTAAGTAAGACATAAGAGCTGCTAAGTTTTACTTAACCAAAAATTCGTGTGTGAAGGCCTAAGTAAAATCTCAAGTAACTTTACTTTGCATCTCATTAAAGTCGGAAAGTTGAAACGATTCAAGAAAGTTTCAAGCGACTTGAAAAGCATCCTTAAAACCGACTTAGCTGACTTGCGGTTACTTGCGGTTTCTTGGAGTGCTTACCATTTGACAGAAGAATCTGGCTTGGGTGTCGAAAGCATAATGGTAAGCGATTTACCAGTTTACCGTAGAGTTGCCACATCCGTTAAGGTTTGAATCCAAAAAGGGAGCGAATGTGTCTGGAACCCAGAAATTGGTAGATGGTAAGCAACATTGCGTTTGGTTTGTACCAACTGGAATGAACGGACTACCTCAAAACGTACTCCTCAATTTTTGGTTGGAATTTCCGAAAAGTGACCTTACCATTTACCATCCATCCGGAATTTCCGAAATTTTCTGTCAAATGGTAAGCACCCTCGAGGTTTGAGAAAGGCGAAACACGTCAATCAATCGTAATTACGTTGCGCGGGAAAATAGCCTTAAGTTAACCTGAAGTAAAAAAGAATCGGTTGTGTGTGAGGCTTTATTTTGCTTGAAGTAATTAAAATTTGCTGCTCTTGAAATATTTCTTAGCTTATTTAGGCTCTAGTGTAAAGACTACCATTGTGATAAATATACATCTGATAAGGTGATTTTTCTATAAGAGGGCGTGGCCAAGTGTCACGTGATGGCTGTATGTTAATATAAGCAGCGTAAAAACAGTCAGAAATTCTTAGAATATAATTTTTAAAACACTAATAACGCTTTAAAAGAATTTCTGTCTCCTTTAAATTTGAAATTGCTAAAGGAGAGAAAACCCCTCATTTGGACAATGACGTCATAGTGAAAATCCCCAAACTCCACCTTAACACAAGAACTGAGTTTGGCAACAATAATTTTCTAAATCAGCGTACTCAAGCTAGTAAGAATACCTATGTTGCCAAAATCAGACATAAATGCCTGTGGGTGTCACATTTTGGTTTCCTGTGTACCCGACCAGAGTATACCCGCGCAAAAAAGTGAAAACTACCGTATTATAATAACTCAAAGCAATTTTTGCGGTAAAATCCTTTATAATTACCTGACGGGATACCCGTCGAATGGAGTATATTAGATACGTCGTCTTTACCCGCGGCGTTCTTCACCATCAGTAGGCCATGTCTGATTACAGGGTTATTAATTCTTTCATTTAAGTCCAATTCTTATTTCCTCAGTGGCACTTACCAAGGTAACATGTAAATTTAGCGAGGCCTAAAAACAAAGCTCTCATTTGATCTTTTAAGTAATGCCTTTGAAGAAAGCTGTAAACCTGAGGCTTCGATACGGACAGTTGTTAGCGGATACCCTATTTTGACAAGTGGATGTCTAATATCAAGTTAATCACAAATCGAATATACCTTAGATTAACGCTTATAATAAGTGAGTGTGACATTTTACATGCGCTAATATGAAAGGGCGGACTTAAGGACGGAAGATTGATTCACAATTAAAATTTCTTGAATGCATAGATAACCAAATTTTATTATCCATAGTGCCCGGCTGCTTGTTTTTCGCGAGCACGATAGCCCCGCCGTTATACCTAATGTTTACCTACAATCCTTGTCAAATTACGTTGGGACACCCCGTGCTGTACCCATTTCCTGACAAAAAAAATGTGCTCCTTCCCTCCCAGTGTTGTTGTTGCGTTTTCTGCTTCTGTCATTCCAACTTGCAAAATCCAACATTAAGGGGGTAGAAAATACCACTACTGTCCCAGCTATTGTGACGAGTGTTGTAGGTATGTCAATTCTTGTACCTTGGTAAAACGATCAAAGAAAACAAGTCGAGATCATGTGTTCTTATTTACATTGGATTATTACGGGATAAAAAGAAATGCTTTATTATTTTGTTTTCATTTCATTTATTTATTTCTGCCGCTAAAATTTATAACTTCGAGGAATCCATCTCCATTGGTTATTGTGTCTAGTTACATATTTTGCTTTTGTTGTTTACACTTTTAGTTTTTTCGATCAAGTCAGTGTGTGTGAAGTTCCAGGTGGGGTACCACCATAAATTTCGGATAGATGTTTGTCTCCTAGGGCCTGAAGTACTGACCCTGTTTGAGGATGAGAGAAACGAAAACTGATACCTTATTTAAGGGCGTGTCTCCGTAAAACCGACCAGTGATTTCGGATCAAAAAATTAATTTTCCTTGTATTCTAGGACATTAAAGTCTTTACCTAATTAGTTACAAAAATGTATTTTGTTTGACCGGAAATGCGAAATAATTTTTTACGAATTTTTGAATTTTCGGCCTGGTGGCACCGCGCCATAGCCTTTGAAACTGCAAAACTTGCCTACATTGCCGGCGCTACAGAAAACAAACAACTCGTTCAAGAAGCCCGATTTTCTTTTTAATATACGGATACACCACCCGAATTATTTATTCATTTTAACGGCATGAATCTTTTTCCTTGCACGTGTTATCAGTCTGCCATCAAAACCAAAAATAGCGCAACTTTGAGGGCAGTTTAAAAAAGTGTGGCACCTGTCTGAACGTTGCTATCTGTATTAATACAAACTAGAAATGATAGTAAAACGTAAAAAGGAATAAAATTTTTGTGCTTTTCACGTTTTCGAATATGAGCACCGTTTGAATTTCCAGAAATTTCGAAGACAAGATAATCAACGAACACTTGCCTTGTTATTCTCCTCTTTTAACTTCGCTGTTTGTAATGTCCTTCTTGGTTTGTAGAGCCGGGATACTATTGTGCCTTAAGCAATCGCTTTTAGTAAAATATTGGTTTTCTTATCATTTGTCCTCCAAGGGAGTTTTTTGTTCTGTTTGTGATAAAAGTAATGGCACTCGTTGCTGGTCGCGAGCGTAAAACGGTTGTTTCGTGACATTCAAATTTTTCCCGCTATTTGTTAGAGGTAATTGCCTTTGAATCGCCATACATCGATAAATTTGCTTCTTCAGTTTAACGTAGATGCATTGAAAAAATTGGTTCAACACATTTTAGAGAAGAAAATTGAGAATCCACTAAAACGCTACCAAGAGAGAATGAGGTGACGCTACAAAAGTTCGTTCCAGGCCCCACTGTTTTTCGAAAAATCATTGGACAAGATTAAGACGTCGAGGATTTTTTAAAAACGTTTCTACGTGATTATGTATAGGTAATGAAACCCAATAAAACCAATAAAAAAGTGTACAGCTCTTTAAAATGATTCACAAGGGCAAGGGCTAACGTACCTGGGCCGTCGCCACGAAACGCGAACTCTTGCCCTCTTTACTTACCACATAATTATGCATTCGAAGAGCTCATGTAGCTTTTGTAGCTTTTCCATCGGGTAGCGGTGAGCATTAAGATTAAGAACCTGGGTCTTAAGTTTCCTTGTTAGCGCATATTTTTGTGCCTACAAAAGAACAAGCAAGTCACTGGAAGGACTTTTGTTGTTTCGATCTGACCATGGAGCGCATGATCTAAATCGTTGATCCCCAGCGTTTGGCCCTATTACTTCAGCAATGCATATTTCTTTTTCCATGTCTGTTCCCTGATTCATTCTGTTCCATCTCGTTGCTGTTCTAATCTAAGTAATGACGACCTAATTTCTTAGAAGCCAGGTCTGAAAACAGGTATGGATTTAAGAGGCCAGGCCTGAAAAACGGTGTCAAACTAAAATGACCTTTTTTGGCCTGAAAAAGGGTCCGGGCGGCACATCCCCAACAAGAATTCCCAGGAGTACCTCCTGAGATAACATGTACTTCCGCGCTAATGCGGATCACCACTAAAAAGGTTCACTTCATTCTATGCGTATTTACGACAGACATGCCAGTGACTGCAGACTGTGGCTCAATCCAGGTGCGACGGGTATACCATGGGTAGTGTCGAAGCAATGATGTGCATAAGGCTTCAAAATTATTTGTAATACCAATTACCGATTGAATAGAAATTTTTGTAATGCTACAATACATTGTCTCTTCATCTGTTCTTCTGTACATTTGCTCCCTGAGTAATTTCCTCTGGCCAATTGCAATGCTTGTTTTCCTCAAATTTTTGTTTTTGCGTCTTGACCGAAGTACTGCAAATAGCTGTATCACGACAATGATGAGCTTGACTTTCGACTCATATCGACTAATAGCAGAGCCCGGTACTTTTTCGGACCAACACAATCGCGACTTTCACTGATTATGACGGGTTGATTGACAAATGGCAAAATAAACTCAAAACAGTCTTATTCCCTAGTAGGATTCGAGGTCTCGAAAAATACTTTTAGAGTAAAAATTGATTTTAACAAGTAAAATTGTCAAATTTCCGCGTTGTTACCTGAGTCACGTTCATCTTCTCTACTAAAAGCGAAATGTCTATTAATATTAAATTGACTTTCAAGAATACTAGAAATCTGGATGCAGAAAAAATAAATAGTTTGTAAAAACCTTCCGTGCACATTTTACATAAAGCAAAAATCCAGAACTACTTTACAAAATAAACTAGCCTGCGTAGAATGGCGGTCTTGTCGCGCGAAGCTCGTACGAACGAGCATTGCTTCCGCCCCAATCTCCTCGTGGTTTCACAGCCCTCGCCCGCCTTATAAGCTTGTACTGCGCGCCAGACCAAAACTACGCAGGCTAATAATATCACCGGAAAAATCAAACACTTAATGGAGCAATTCCTTTTAAAGGTTTTAAGGAAAACGTTCAAGAGTTATTCTCTCGACCTTCTCTTTATGTAAAATTGGATGTACAGTTTCTTAGACAACCCAGTCGGCACAGGTTATCGCCTCCTGATCAGCATTAAGAACACTATGACATTTACTATGACTTGAAGAGTAGTTTTGTTTTCAACTGAAAGGTAAAAAGCTAAGTCCGTACCTCTAGACTACGAGTAGTCCCCCATTTTTCCTCATGGATAGTAGAGCGAACGAAACGCGAGCGGACGTGAATTTTTCTCTCTCCCCTCCGCGTGTCGCCTTTTCTCGCGTGGGTGATTTTCACGCGCGCTCGCGTCTCGCTCACTCTCCTATCCCTGAGGAAAAACGAAGGACTACTCGTAGTCTACCGTACCTCGAAAGAGACATGACTATCTTCGAACCAAACCTGAGCCCTACACCCACCCTTCTAAACACAGCTACTTAAAGCTACACGGAAAGGAGAGAAGTAGAAAAAGGGATTGGAGGTCACATTTGGGGATCAGCCTTTAGACTTCTACCATAGAAGGCCGCGCAATAACCAACTGTACCAATCCTTTCTCCTCAAAAGCAAGTGAAAACGCAAAGTAGCGCAGTAGAAAGCCTACTGGACCGAGTGGGACTTGTGTTTCCAAAAATTGAGTGATGTTATATGATCATTTTTTAGCTTTTCCTTGCTCCTAAAAAAAAAGATGTTGACACGTCCTTAAAGGGCGACAGTTTCGAGCCAGTTGCAGCCCAAATAATGATCAATTATGTCTCACACATACGAACAGACCCGCCCTGACGAATATCAGTTTGTATTTTAAGTGGTTCGTTATATCTTTTCTTTCTTTCTACAACGTACATACTGAATATGTCTAAACTCGAAAATCTCTACCAATAGATTTTCCCAAGGCCACAGCAGACAGTCGGTCTGTACACTCCTTCGCTATGGTAAAAAAAAAAAAAAAAACAACAACAACAACAGCTCGTTATTAAGGACAGTTTGCTTTGTCCCAGGGGAAAGAAAACCCTTACATTTTCTGTAAATTCACCCCAAAATGGCCGTAAGATCTTTATTTTGCGTTAAAGATACAAAAATAAAGGTTTATTAATATTTAACTCTTTGAAACAAAAGGAATAAATTTTTAACATTTTTGTTAACCGTAACTGAAAAAAATTAACCGATAGCCGTAAAAGAGCCAAAATTTTAGCCGAAAGATGTAAAAGCCACCACCCCATTGAGACCCTCTTGTCCACGAGGACTGGGCATGAAATACAAAGTCACGCATACAACTACGCATACGTATTTCAAATAGATAACTGGGCTAAATTGCTTTCTTAGCGTCTTATCGCGTCACATTTGCAAAGAAATTAGTTTTATTTGCCCAGGAAATTTTACTGCCATATCTTGAGGAGTCGATCCTAAAGAAAAACTATTTTTAGCAAAGACCTTGAGGTCGGGTGTCACAAACCAGTCAAACTCGCGGATACGACCATTTTATAAACCAGATAACATCGCAACAAAACAAGTATAAACACGGAATCAACGGCCAATATAATTTCAGACGATTAAGAAATAACCTTAAAATGAAAAAGAACTAAGGTGAGATCCATCAAGCCATCAAGTGAAGTTGACTTTCACGAGCAAAGCACAAGGCAAGTGTTCGTTAATTATCAGGTGTTCAAAATTTCTGGAAATTCAAACGGCGGTCATATTCGAAAACGTAAAAAAAAAATTATTCCTTTTTAGGTTTGCTACCATTTCTAGTTTGTATAAAATGCATATAGCAACGTTCAGACGGGTGCCACACTTTTTTAAACTCCCCTCAAAGTTGAGCTATTTTCGTGTTTTGATGGAAGGCTGATGACACGTGCCAGGAAAAAGATTCGTGCCGTTAAAATGAATAAACAATTCGGAACTGTGATATGGCTAGGACATCTGGAGTGGTGTATCCGTATACATGTATTAAAAAGAAAATCGGGCTTCTTGAACGAGTTGTTTGTTTTCTGTAGCGCCGGCAATGTAGGCGATTTTTGCAGTTTCAAAGGCTATATTGCGTCGGTGCCAAGCGGCCGAAAACTCAAAAATTCGTAAAAAAATTATATTTCGCATTTTCGGTCAAACAAAATTCGTTTTTGTAACTAATTATGTAAAGACTTTAATATCCCAGAATATAAGGAGAATTAATTTTTTGATCCGAAATCACTGGTCGGTTCTTACGGAGACGCGCTCTTAAGGCGCACCCCTACAAAATGAGACCCAATTCAAGGAAAAAAAAACATAAACCAAGAATTTAAAGGCAACACATACCCTGCGTGATCAGAAGGCGTAAATCAATTGTCAGTCACACGCGAAGAAAAGAGCGTGAGTAAGGAAACGTCGAAAAAGTCTTCAATAAGTCGCTTTCATGATACTCTAAGGTCCAGCTAACGGACCATTTTTTTTTTCTCGTGTAGCTGGACATTTATACCTGTAGACTCTTGAGTGTTAACCAATTGATAACGGCGGGAACACAACACTAACAAGGGAAAAATTGATTCAGTATGGAAGAATAAGACCCTCAAATACCATACTTTTTCGGGCGTCACATACCTATCTAGCCAAAATATGGGAGTACCCCACTCCTCCCCCCTCCCAACCCTCCAAGGAGTCAAGTTGAAGTTTAGTAAATTGAATCTAGTCTAATACCTACTGCAGCTATAATCATTTCTGCACAAAACAGGTATCAAACTTGTTATGATCCCGGAATCGGTTCAATAAGGCCCTGTTGAGGAGGGAGAGGGGAGGGGGAGGGGGTTCTTATCCCTTATCCTTGTAAATTTAATAGGAGATATCCCTTATCCCTAAACGTAGTAAGAACGTTACTACTAAAAGTCAGGGAACACGCAGGGGGAGGTGCTGGGGGAAAAACTTGCCCTTTCCCCCGCACTTTTTGTGGGAAAGAAAAAAAAAATGTTTGCCTCAAATTTTTGTAGTTACATTCATGTTAAAAATAAAGAAGGTATAACTGTAGCTGAAAAGATGCAATAGTCATTGTGATTATCACACGCCATGTCTGAAAACCAGCTTGCTGAGCCATTTACCGTGTTTAAATAAAGTTGATTGATTGATTGATTGATTGATTGATTGATTGTTATGGCATTGCAAGGGCTCGATTAATCCGTTTCCAGAGGCGACTTTTTACGCGTGTAAACCAGCGGCGATTTCACAAAGACTCTTCTCGAGTGCTAACAAAAACACAATAACCAAGCAGCCGTTCTCTCGTGGGTTTTGCGAATATAGTAAAATGGGTTTTCTTGGCGGCAAAGATATTCCCACCTTATTATCCAGCTTGCGATCCTATAACCAATAAAAGTAAAGGGGAGAAAAATAAGTGTAGATCATAATTAATGTAGAACCATGATGAACTTTCATTACTCCCTAAAACAATTCAATTATCCCCAAAATTATTTTCTCAATTATCCCTTACTGGTTCCCTTTTCCCTAAGGAAAAGGTCTGAAAGGTTAGTCATCAGATGTCAATGCAAATAAGAAATGCATTATCATTGGCGTATATCATACATCATCTCTGTATACCTGTCTTTAAAGACTATGTCCATTTTCATAACTAACTGTAAGGAATAGCAATACAATAAACAAAGGGAGGAAAATAAGAAAAAAAAGGAAAGTTGAAAAAAAGGTGTGATTCCATTTCACTCATGGTTCTTATTAAATTTGTTTTGTTTTAGTTTATGATAATTCTTTTAAAGTCAAGAATAAAAATAAATAAATAAATAAATTCAAAATAAGGAAAATACACTACAGAGTAACTACACCACAGTGTTTACTCAAAAGTTAATACTTACGTTTTGTTGGTTTGTTAGATTCCAGTGGTGGCTGGAGCTTCACTCGCAAGGCGTTTATTTTTTCAATCAGCAATAAAGAAGAACTGGATCCCTTTGTAAGTGAGGTGAGGAGGCCAAACTTAGCAATTTACGGGGGGTCATGGTCTGGTCCAAGGTTTGGTTATGATGACATCTACATTGCTAATAATGCCAACAGTAACAGCTACTCATGGGCACTCCCTGTCTGGTCCTACCCTGTTCCTGCTGCAGTGCAGGACCCGGGCACAATCCTGGCCGGGACTATGTCCTTCTCACCTGATGAGGTGGAGGTATTTTATCTTGACCCTACTCAATAAATATAAAAAGAACCATTTCATTATTTACGGCCAAAAAACATGCAGCTATATTAACATACTTACTACCTTCAAAAAAATGTACTTCCGAATCTATATTTCTCGACAACGTAGAAAATCTTTGTTTCTTTCTTTTCTAGATCTTTAATTTGTTAAACACGAGACAGGAACATAGTCCTTGCTTATTTAAGTTTTTTTTTACGTAATCTTATTTTTAGTCAAGGAAAGTAACTGATTGATAATGATTTTTTTGTCCTTCCCGTAAATTACTATTTTACTAGAGTAATTAAGCTTCAATTTCATTATAACTTTAATTGTTTATCCATTTTTAGATTTAAAAAAAGCACATTTTTTTCCCCAGCCAGAGCCACTTGTCTGGAAACAGCCAATTTCGACTGAAATTAGCGCAAAAAAAACCCAATGAAAACGTGAATCTGCACTGTTATAAAGAAAGAAATCACGTCAGCTTAGGTCCATTTAATAAAACTTTTACAATTGCTGTGAAGTATTTTAATAGTTGTTTTTAAGATTTGTATTTCTTCTATGTTTCGTTTCTATTATATTAGGTGAGTCAAGGATAGTTTGGATTTGGTGCGCATAGGTATTTTCCTTTGTTTATTTTGTGATTTTCAGGCTTCTACTTGAATGTTTGCGTAGCTCGCGGATTTCTTTTATAATGCCATTTTAATTAGGAATAATTGTTCTCTTGCCATTGTCAGATGTTAGTTTTTCATAGGTGGTGTTGTTTTTCATGTCAGAGCTGACCTTGGTTCATTCATAGTCTCGTTGAAGTTCCTGTTTGGGATTGTTAACCAGCGTTTTAGTTATTCATTGCTTTGCAGCTTCTTGTAAATCGCAGCCATGTATGTTCAGTAATACCAAAACATTACCCACACGGCCGCGAGTTTACCTTGTTTTTATTCCTACGGTCAGTTACCCAAACATGTCCAGCTTTGACTATAAAAACCGCTACTACACTTGAACTACTCACTCACCGCCGAGTAGGGATTGAGTAGAGAAGAGGAGTAAGAAGATTAAGATTAAGATTGTTAGCAAAAGTCAAAAAACAGTAAAGACCAGTGTAAAGCAGATTCCTGGTACCTCGTGGCTAAGCGAGCGAGTTGCCCGAACACACCCTCGACTCGCAAATCCCCATGAAAATCTCTTTGCACTACAACTTAAAAACGCTCCCGGTAAATACAAGATCTGCTTTTATTCTTTTCACTTTAGCGTTCGTCATAAAAGATTGTAGTGAAAGTCAGTCCCGGTGCATGTATGCCGTGTTTAAGACATTGATATATACATTGATTTTCTTTATTTAGACATGAAGTTAAAAACTAAACGCCAGTTTAAAAAAAAGATTAATTTTTTAGTTTAATTAAATAATCAATTAAAGGCCTCGACAGATCGGCCTTAGTATATTCAAGGCCGAGTTTAATAAAGTTTACTTACTTATGAGAATGTGTCTAAGTGTTTTCTTTTTTTTCTTCTTCTTCTTCTTTGTTATCATTAAAAAATGTAAATGCTACAAGCAAGCTTGTTTTTGATTATTTATGATCAATCCTTTTTGATAAGCTCGTTTAACGTTCGACTTAGGGACTGTGCAATAATTATCAGGAGGGGGGCCCCTAAAACCAGAGGGGGGGGGCATTACATACAATTGCTGCCAAGATAGGGGTGGCTCAAAGAAAAATCACTCATGTGACGGAGGGGGGGCCTTAAGTTTTATTCGAAATGTAAATAAAATTAAACGCAACAAAAGATTCTCAATACAGGCATCATGATAGACTGTAACAAATATCAACACGAACAGCTGTTAAACGATTATTGAAAATATTCCATCAAAATGAAAAGCAAATTCACAACTCATCAATTTTAACCCGTCTTCTAATTAATTGAGCTGATCCTATGTAAAGCAAAAATCATGAACTTGTTTTTCAGCTTCCCCCATAAAACAATGGGAATCAAACAGATCTCGTAGACAAGCTTTGTCGGTTTTTGATGTGACAAAAAGTAATGTTTCTTCATCGACTGAATCGATTTGCAGAATTCCATATATATGTGGCTCATAACAAAGTTCAACAGGCTCTCCTCCCAAGGATCTAAATATAATGCAAGCTCTTTTTCGTCTGTTATTTGAAGCGTTCAATCTCCTGTTCTTTGATTTTTTTCCCTGCTCCTTTCTCTTTCTGGCTTCAGAAATTTTAGATTTTGAACCAATGTGGTAAGCACCCCAGTACTTAGCAAATGCTTTGTCTAAATCTTCAGTCAAGCGATCAACATCCTTCTCGATACTAGATGTTACATAATAATGTTTGTTATTATTGAAGCTGTGATGGCAGCTCAGTCCAGTTTTGAGTTTACCAGTGTGGTGGGAGGGGGGGGGGGGGGACGTTTTTTTTCACTTAACAGAGGGGGTTAGAACTAATTTTTTTTTGTTTTGGAGGGGGGATACTGTCTAAGTTTTTGCTAGATAATTCTAGTTTTTCAGTCTCCCCTCCTGATAATTATTGCACAGTCTCTTATGATCACAACAGCAGTCAAACAATTTGTATTACTTTAAACAAAACTGTCTTAAAAGGCTACGTCAGGGCTATCAATTTAAAAAGCAAAACCCTTTCAATTAGTGCGCATCATTTGAATTCCAAATATAATGGTCCCGAGGTTTGTTGTTAAAAACTTCATATTTGGCCGTTTAAACTGTGTGTCTCCTGCTGTCTTTTTTGCAACGGATGACAAGGATGAACACGGACTGGCCATGGACGCTAAATAGATTTCTACCGTTACACTATTTGATCTTTTAAAAGTTTTTAAGAGCGTGGACCACAATATTCTCCTGCGCAAGATCTCATACCTGGGTGCTGGTTCGCAAGTTACATGTACCCATCTAACGATCACAATATCCATGTATTGATCACGCATTAAAACAATGTGGTGATGAAATATTAGAGTACAGACACATGGATGACGTGGAGACTTTTCTATTTTTTGTTCAACATGGGCGCGATTTTGAAATTGTTTGCGAGTTTGTTTTAAGCAAGTGAAAACCTTTAAAGATGGCTTACTGCGAGATGTTTATAAATAGGAAAAAAAGAATAAACCGAGACAAGTTCTTGACGACTTGAAAATCTAGGACAAATCCTCGAACAGTAAAGCGGTACGAGGCAATTATGTCGTTGTTTCTTTTCTGCTCATTATGTAAAACATATAGATTCCATGTAACCCTGGGTCTGTTCACTAATAGATCACAGAACTTCATCTGGAATTGCTGAACCTGTGCACCGCGCACTGCAACATGGAATCTATTCGTTAAATAGTCATTACCCAGGTCAACTGAGCCGTGTAAGCCTGTTCCAGGCGTTCAGTTTCTGGGGACAGCACAAAAAGATGTGAAAAGAAAAACTACGTGGGTTGAGCCGAGCAAAGGAAGGTTCACTCCTCTCTCCACCTCTCCCTCCTTATTTTTTTCCCCCGCCGCTCCGACTTTGTGCCGCATTCCAAATTTTAAACGCCTGGAACAGGCTAGAGCTGAATCGGCCGCTTCATCGATTTATAACACCTATCCGAGGACTCTCAATCTTCAACATTGGCGCAACGCAGTATCGCTCCGTACATAAATCGCCCCGAAATCACCGTTTTTATATATCTTCAATCAATCATGCTATTTTCTATAGCAGGTTGTCAAACTTTATTGTGAGGGTAGCTCCTAAAATCCCTGACAAAACATTGTCTCTGTAGTATCTGGGTAATACTCTCGAGAAAAATTTCCCTTACGGGTGGGGGAGGTGGGGGCTTAATAGAGGTACCACAGTACCTTAAAAAAAAACGAGCTGTTTTGCATTTTTCTTTATTCTTAGAAATACAGTTTCTTTACCCGACCGTTTTCCAGGTGATCTTCTTTTCATTCACCATACCGCGGCATTTTAGTCATGAATTTGAAATTTTTTGTCGTCAGGTTCTTGATGTCACCAGTCCCTCTATCGTTATGTTCATGGAACTTTCGGTCAAGCATTTTGACGCACAACCATAAGCCTGGATCAAGCAGTGAGCTTGATTATTAGCTGCGTTTAACACGCAGTTATGGTATTGCAAGTTGCACTTCCGACAACAATCGAAGGAGCAGAACGCTAAATAAGGTCTCTTCTCGATTTCAAGTTGTCCAGTTTTTCTTACAGAAGATGGGGTTGTTTTCAGACCACACAAGCTTTAAAAGACGGTAATCAAATTAACCTTAGACAATAAATTAAGGATGTGCATCCTTCGGCCCAAATAAACTGATATCATTCATGAATAATTGAGAAAATGTGAGACAAAAACTCTAAATAGAAAAAGGAAAGAACGAGGTTTTACCACAAGCGAAGTGAAGCAAATGTAAAGGATGATCTATGAGAGAGCCAATATTCTTTATAAATTTTTTTAGACTGAGAGCAGTCTCTTATTTTTCTTTTGAGACACAGTACATCGAGAACACGCGTTGGAGGGGGTGGGGGAAGTGGCGAAGCAGCGAGGAACAAAGGCGGAAGCCCATGTTAAGCAAAGAAAAAATAATTTATTTGCATAATTTTACTTTTTCTCTCGCCGAGCGTGGCTCCGAGGAAAGAAGGACGACCACTCGTGGTCTAGAATTTTTTGTAACCCGGAACTGACTTTTTCAGATAAAGATTTCTCTACCGTTTCAAAATGGCGAAACGTACTCGCGACTAAGTTGAGATTATTTACTCTTTTGTCTTGCCTTACATTTTGACCTAAGAAATAACTCAACTGCTGCTCATATAGCGTTTCCTCAATAAACAACTTCGCACATCAACATATACGAAAACAAACGGCGGTAACTTACCTCTAGTTTGGTGCTGTTAACGGCTGGACAATATTTTCTGCAGTTGCAAGAAAGAACAGTTGTTGAAATGGTTGTTTGTGAAGTATTCTCTGTAGTCCGTGGTTTCGCTGGGATATCAAGCATGGCTTCTGTCTTGTCTTCAGTATTTTCCTCGAGTTTTCTTGAG